TACAAACCTGCCACCTCCTGCACTCTGCAGCTGGTTGGTCCAAGCCATTCTGTGCATCGTTTGTGGGAGGAGTGGGCTTGTGGTGTCTTCTCCTCAGCCCTTCCACTGTGCTCCCTGGTGCACAGTGACTACAGTTGTGGCAGGCACTTCAGCTGGCTGTGCAAGGAAGGAGGGATAGGCTCTTCGCACGAGGAGCCGTGTACAGGCCAGCCACAGGCCAGCCCTCAGTATTTTCAGACAGAAAGCGTAGACCATATCAGGCTGTCTGTATATGTCTATAAGATTAGTTATGTCGGAAGGTACTAGTGGCCTGCCATCGTGCAAAGACAGTCACAGACCTCGTTCAGGTGAATGGGTGTGATAAAGTGCTCTCCTTTGTGCCCAACATCAGGAGCACCTGAAACGCTTTTATAGGGCAAAACAACTGATGCCCCCAGTGTGATGTCAAGAAAGCGTGGCACTAACAGGGTTTCCAAAGCGCATAACTCAGGGCTGGGAGGCTGGAAGAAGGCTGTATGTTAAGCAGCTAGGAGTGAGCAATCAGAGCCCCAGAGCTCTCTCTCTGGCCCCTGGAGAGAAGCTGAGCAAACAGAGCGCCTCTCTATGGAACAGAACTGACTGCGTCTGACTTCAGTTTTCTGCAAAAAAGAGCTGCCCGTGTGCAGTTTTGTGCTTACCGCTGTCCAGGGAAACAAACCCTTGTGTATAAATAAACAGATTGCGCTCAGAAAATAACCTGACTCCATGTCCCTGATTTCTCCGCCATACAGAAACCACTCTGCAAGGCTTGGATTTCAGCTACTCCTCAGCCAAAAAGGGGCAACATTTTTATTATTACTTGGCATGAATGTGGACACTCCAGGACCGTAATGTCAGCCGAGGAGGACCTGAACACGTGCACACACAGGCATACAATTCAACTTCAGCTGCTATTCTGTGCTAAGAGGATTTCTGGGGTACTCTTGTAAAAGATGTTTGGTGGGGAGCCACCCTAGGACTTCCCCAGGAAAGGATCTAGTAGAATGTGCATTGGCACTGCTCTGAGGTTATCATAAGGAGTCTGAGTTCTGACACAGGCTGCTCCGGGATTAGCTTTGTGGGTTGAGCCATGTGTCCTTATTGTGCTTAACTAGGCACTTCTTTTCATTTCATGTGATAAAACTGTGCATGAAATGAATACCAATTCATTAGTATTGATGAGGCTGAAGAGCTAAAAACCCAGTCCTGCAGCTGTCTGCAGGCAAACTCCCAATGAGGTCTAAAGAAGGGCCCGAACCAAAACCGCAGATCAGAACAACCTGAAATTCTGAGATGGTATAGCTAATAAATCCTGGTTTGTCCACCAGTTCTTATACTGACCCAGGGCCACTCAAAATGGGAATGAATTGGGGCTTGTGACAAACCTGTTTTTTGTCAGAATCTTTAAGGCCAAGAGGGACCATTAGATCATCTTGACTGACCTCCTGTCTATCACAGGCTGTTATATTTCATCCTGTGACCCCTGTATTTATAGATTCATAGATTCTAAAGCCAGCAGGGACCATTGTGTCACTTAGTCAGACCTCCTGTGTATCACAGGCGTTGGAACTTCCCCAATATAATTCCTAGAGCAGATATTTTAGAAAAACATCCAGTCATGATTTTAAAATGGCCAGTGATGGAGACTCTATTTTGACCCTTGGTAAATTGTTCCAATAATTAATTACTCTCGCCATTAAAATTTTACACCTTATTTCCAGTCTGAATTTGTCTAGTTCAACTTCTAGCCATTGGATTGAGTTAGACCTTTCTCTGCTAGATTAAAGATTTGTTGCCCAAGTAGATGCTTATAGACTGAAATCAAGTCACCCTTTAGCCTTACGTTTGTTAAACTAAATAGACTGAGTTCCTTAAGTCTATCATTATAAATCGGGTTTTTCTAATCTTTTAATCGTTCTAGTGGCTTTTCTCTAAACCCTTTCCCATTTATCAACATCCTTCTTGAATTGTGGGCACCAGGACTGGACACAGGATTCCAGCAGCAGTCGTACCCGTGCCAAATACAGAGGTAAAATAACCTCTCTACTCCTACTCGAGATTCCCCTGTTTATGCATCCTAGGATTGCACTAGCTCTTTTGGCCACAGCATCACACTGAAAATTCATGTTCATCTGATAATCCACCATGACCCCCGAGTCTCTTTTCAGAGTCACTGCTTCCCAGGATAGAGTCCCCCATCCCGTAAGAACGGCTGACATTCCTTCTTCCTAGATGTATATTGAGTTAGACCAAAGCATGTCAGTCCTCAGGAGACTAAACTGTGGTACGCCCCCACGGGGAGAGACTGAGGTGTTCCTAATTTCTGAGGCACCTGCAATGGCAGGGAACTGATTAGGTGAGATACACTCTGATGATACTAATGGCAATTCATGCTCTATGCTGCAGAGCTAGGCAACCGCCCCCACCCCCCACACAGACACACAAGGTCCTGCCAATCTGACCTGGGGGGAAAATTCCTTCCTAAACTCAAATCTGGGGATGAGTTTGACCCTGAGCATATAAACAAGAAACACCAGCCAGACATCAGAGAGCAGGTCTACGCTACCTCTTAAGTAGATCTAACTTATGTCACTCATGGGTGTGAAAAAGACACCCCCCCTCCCCTGAGTGATGCAAGTTACAGCGACCTAAGTGCTGTCCACATGAGTGCTATGTCCTGTCTCCAGCTATAGCCAATCTCTGATGCTTCAGAGGAAAGCAAAACAAAAACAAAAAACCAATCCAGAATGCATCTAGCCAACTGTGCACTGGAGATCAAATTCCTTCCTGACACCAGCAGGTGATTATACTAGTTTTGATTATACTCACTGTCTTAATGCAGAGCTGCAAGTGTAATGAGCATGTCAAAGGCAATCCTGTTCTCCCCCCACCCTTGAAGAAAGGGGGTGACTCTGATAATGAATCTGATTTTGTGCCATCTGGATCCGATTCACTGGAACCAGGTGTATTTTGTGTGTTTGGGGATTTTATTGGGAACATTTTGCACAACTGTATGTAAAATGTAACTGTTATATCAGGATGAAAATTGTTTTTCCTTAACAGACATGCACAGTTCCCACTGGCATTAATGGAACACACACACACACACACACAAAGATATAAACGTTGCTGTAGAAAGAGAAGATAGATACGTATATAGTTAGTGCTTTGAAATGTAGCACTAAACTAAAGATGTTGGGTCCAAACCTCAGCTGATGTAAATCAGCCTAGCTCCATTGGCATCAATGGAACTATATCAACTTAAAACAGCAGAGCGGTGAATCACTAGGAATAAAAAATTCTGGATTACAAGAGAACTTTTTGAAGCCCACATAGAATCACAGCACTTGTGTTTAACCTCAGCATTTTCCCATTATACTGAAGACCCTTTCAATAAAGCTTGAGTTTATCTTTAGTTCTGTGCTACCTTCTGCCATTCTGGTATATCTCTGAACAAGATAACCAGTCTTTCTAGAACAGTGAGAAAAGACTACAGTTCATTTTCCCATGTATGGTCCATATTTTGCCACTAACATCAGGATAAAACAGAAGAGTAGTATTTCAATTTAACTCTGTCAGAAAATATCTATCTATCTATCTATCTATCTATCTATCTATCTATCTATCTATCTATCTATCTATCTATCTATCTAATCTTCCAGCAACATATTTCTAATTAGTATTCAAAGGATTTGTGGAATGGTATTGTTTCTGAATTGTAAGTTATCTTTGATTTGGAGTATTTCTTCATTGTTTGCTTTGGATTATTTACAACTATTATCAAAAAGCTGCACACTGGGGCGTTTTGTGGTTAAATCACATTAATTCCTCAATTCTTTTATACAACAGGGAACATGTTCCAGTGGATTTCAGAACAGAAATTAAGCATTGGAATGAACAGATAGGTAGATAGATGTTCTAATCAAAGGACAGGAAAAAATCTACAGTGCATCTAGTATTACGTACACAAAGCAGTCCATTTATCAGTTAAATTAGTTGTAAATGAGGATGAGAGAAAAAATCGTACAGTGGGCCCTGATCTTGCAAACACTTTTGCATGTGCTTAATTTTAAGCACATGGCCAGTCTCATTGACTTCAGTAGGACTGCCCATGTGATTAATGTTAAGCACATGTGTAACCCATGGTCTGTTACAGGTCCCCCTCTGTGCCAAACCATAGAGGAAATGAGTTATTGTACCCCACAACTACAGTGCTTTATTTCAAGCTGTAGTAACTCATGCTCTTTGCTCTAGAGGTCTCCAGTTCAATCGCCAGTCTGTTGTATGGCCATGCCGTGTCAATGCATGGCAGTTGTCATACGTGTAAGTGATGAAGTCAATGGGACTGCTCACCTGCTTAAAGCTAAGCACATGCATTGGTGTTTGCAGTGTGGGGATTTATCTTTGAAAAGTGATTCCATGTATTAATAGCAAGAAAACAATAGCTTAGGTTTATATATTGGAATTTAATTTAAAAAAACCACTAAATTGCTACACAAAGTATCTATCTGTAAATCACTTTACCCACATCCTTAGTTTGGGATGTGAAAATGAATAGTATCTGAAACTGAAACTGCAGGGGGAATTTAAGTAAGGCAGAATGTGATTACGCAGATGGGAAATTGAGCAGGAGACCAGGACTGACACAGCTACTCTTACAAAAAGGACCAAAGAATCTTTCATTAGGATCTTCATTTTGTTTCCTGTGTCGTACAGCACCTCCAACAGCACAGTACCCCCACACCACCTCCCCAAACTCTTCTGGGACACTGGCTCAGAACTGATTCAGAGGGAAATGTGCTCTCTACAGAATCAACAACATCCTGGGATTTTGCATAGTGATGTCATATTCAATTCATAGCCCGACCTTATCTAGCTGAGTCTGTGATCTGTCCAGCCCCTCTGGAGCTTCTGATCAACTGGGTAGCTCTTACCAAACCATTAGCTAATATAAACATTCCTTGCCTGAATATTTGACTAACCTGCTTTTCACCACTTGGCTTCCTGTAACTCAGAAGCAGCTCCACCGCTCCAACCACCTCCTTCCGTATTGCATACAACAGAGCATCTCCCACGTAAATACTGTGGCTCAGCAGTAACTCCATGATCTCCAGGTTTTCATTCTCTATGGCTATTAAAAGGGCACTGCGTCCGAGAGGATCCATACAGTTAATGTTGATGTTGTAGTAGATTTCAGCCTCTTGCAAGGCATGTTTCACACTGGCATAGTCCCCCTTCTCCACAGCAATGAGATAGGCCTTCTCTTCCAGCGAGAGCTCTGCCTCTGCTCGCACAATCTGCAATGGGATCCGGTCTCTGTATGGTGAATAGTTTACCTTTTTGTAGTATAGCTGGGCCATTGTTCATAGTGACTGTGCAACCTGTTTGGAAGAAAGAAGAAGGACACTTAGAGACTGAAATTACAGCAACTACTAGCTTCCGTTCAAGTGGGACAAATTGCTGAAGGTCAATTGTAGTGAAAGTTTCTGATCCCTGCGTCCGGGCTTATTTTCAGTACAATGAGTTTAATACTCCCCAACACTCATCAAATGAGGGGCTACATGGAAAAGTAGAAGTTGTAGTGTCATATTCCTCAGGACAATGCACAAAATGACACTGGTTGTACTTTAAATGCCATGCCAATGATATTCTTTATCTGCTTACCAGCACCAGCTGTTGTTAGTGGACTATCCATCAAATGTGTGAATAAGTGGATTTCTCACCTCTGCTATGTTTCCACTCAGTTGTTTTTCCTCTTCCTTTATAATCATTGGGCCATGTCCTCAGCCAGTATAAATCACCATAGCTCCATTGAAGTCAATGGACCTGTGTTGATTTACATCATCTCAAACTGGCCTGTTATACTTAATGAATTTTCCTTTTATTATGCGCGCTCTCGCTTGCTCTTTTTTTTTCTTTCTCTCTTTGAAGAAGGGCTTCATTTCCCCCCTGTGTTTATACTCTGACCTGGTCATGGTTTTATTTTAAAATCTTAGCACATTTTTTTAATTTAACTTTCTCCCATTTATAAATAGGTCCTGAAGATGGGCTCACGTTCACAACACACTCCAGCTCCCTAGAGTCAGCAGGGCTGCCTGCAGCCTAGGAAAAAACTTCCTTTGAACAAGTGTAGCAAATTGAACTTCAGCTCCATCCCATCACTACTTACTAGCCCACCAGGCTACCTAACAAATAGGCCAGGTAGCACATGGGATGGAAAAGCACCACGCTGAGGGTACAGGGGCCTTCAGCCATTGTTTAATGTTGTTGTCTGCAGGCTGGGGCCAGTGAGGCCCACAAAGTCAGTATCGTAGCAGCACATAAGTTAAAAACACCGGTTAGAGCTGTTTGCCCAATGCAGAATTGTTCCACGCAGAAAATTTAACAGGGTTTGTGTCATTCTGTTTTATGCCAGGTGGCAAGGTGAGATTTTTAAGGGGAGAAAACAGATGGAGAAGGAGGCTTTTGTGATTCACACGCAGGCCTGGGAGTCAGGAGGTCTGGGTTTTATTTTTAGCTTTGCCACAGATTCCCCATACAAGAGCTGACATCTTTTTGTACTTGTGCTTTCAATGATGTGATCAACCTCCATTTTTTATGCTGAAGTGTGGGTATGTCTGACTCCTGTCCTTCAGGAAATATCTGTATCTTGAATTCAGAACACCATATGTTAAATGTTTTAAATAATGAAATGAAATTTTAAAAAGTATGCTGTCGAGATTTACAAGCCAAAAAATAGACCAGCTTTCCATCTATCAGATCTGACCTTCTGTAACCCAACCAATTATTCACTTGTTCTATCCAAAATAGAGAGTTTATTATTTTCTTACTGCTAGACTACCAATAAATCAACCAGTTTAACATGTTGTCCTGCACGTGCACCGGGTTTTTTTGTGTTATTGTGATGCCTTGTTTATATGTGCAGTAAAACTATCAGTGAAGGTGGGGAAAATATTTTCATTCCATCCACTTGTTGTGCAATGAGTGCAAATACTTTTTATTGTAATCTGCATAAATATCTAAATCTGAAGTGTGTGTTCACAGCATCTTGCTACTTAGTGTGAAATTTAAATTTCACTGAATAGGCTGAGGGGCTAACCAGTCAGACCTGATGTGGTGGTTTCCTATTGTACAGAATATTGCACTACAGGTCTATCTCTGCTCTCTACGATGTGGCTTCAGAAGTGCTTGCCATAGGGCAGCTGCATTTGTTAGATTAAGGATTGAATCAGATTCTCTTTTAGCTCGAGTATTTAGGGCAGGGGTGGCCAACCTGTGGTTCGGGAGCCGCGTACGGCTCTTCAGAGGTTAGTATGCGGCTCCTTGCATAGGCACCGACGCCGGGGCTGGAGCTACAGATGCTAACTTTCCAATGTGCCGGGTGGTGCTCACTGCTCAACCCCCTGTTCTGCCCCAGGCCCTGCCCCCACTCCACCCCTTCCCCCCAAGGCCGCTCTCCCTTCCCACAAGCCTGCCATGCCCTCACTCCTTTCCCCTCCCCTCCCAGAGCCTCCTGCACATGTGAAACAGCTGATTGGGGCAGGCAGAAGGTGCTGACTGGTGGGGCTGCCAGCGGGTGGGAGGCACTGGGGGCTGGAGGGCGGGAGCTGATGAGGGGCTGCTGATGTATTACTGTGGCTCTTTGGCAATGTACATTGGTAAATTCTGGCTCCTTCTCAGGCTCATGTTGGCCACCCCTAGTTTAGGGGCTTGTGTTTTCTGAAACAGGAAGATCCCAGTTCTATCCCAGCTGTCACCATGAAATTGTGGGTGAGTACTGGCATGCAGCAAAGTGACATCTGTGAATGTCTTAGGAGGCCATATATTTGTTAGAATGGGTTAGGCATGTCAGAAAATGCTCTGTGAGAACCCCTGCTACTGATGAATATGGGCGTATTTCTCAATTTACAAGAATTACAGCTCCACTCACATCTGTTTAAACCATTAGAAGCACATATGCTTTAGACACAATCTGAGATATGGTTCAAGCCTTACACAACCAGTCTTAAGTACTTTGGCTTCGTTTCTTGACGCTAAACATAGTGGCTTCTGTTATTTTGTTGTACATATTGTCTGTGGCATTTGCGTGCTTAAGTGACGTAACTTAAACAGACAGCGCAATGTGCTAGGATGGTAGCCAGTGAGTAAGGCAGCCAAGCCATTCCCAGACTGATCATTTTCTGTGTCCCCCCACTTCTGATGTCGTCTAAAAATCACAGCCCTTGCTGACATGGTTATGCCAGTTACATTTGTTAAGTGTAGATTTGGCCTAAGTGACTTAGGAGCCAGCACCTATTGACATTAAATAAGACTTAGGCTAGGTCTATACTACCCGCCTGAATTGGCGGGTAGAAATCGACCTCTCGGGGATCGATTTATCGCGTCCCGTTGGGACGCGACAATCGATCCCCGAATCGGCGCTCTTACTCCACCAGGGGAGGTGGTAGTAAGAGCCGCCGGCGGGAAGCCGCAGAAGTCGATTTTGCCGCTGTCCTCACAACGGGGTAAGTCGGCTGCGATACGCCGAATTCAGCTACGCTATTCACGTAGCTGAATTTGCGTATCTTAAATCGACTCCCCCCTGTAGTGTAGATGTACCCTTAGGCTCTTAAGTAGTCAAGAAACTTTAAAATGGGGCTATACGGCTCCTATGTCACTTAGGCCTGGTCTACATTCCCCCAGGTCTAAAAGGCATCATTCTGGCCAGAAAGATGGGAGCTACAACACAAGAACGTCAGGAGGTTGCAGGGAGTTAAGGGGCTAGTTCCGTTGTCCTGGAAAGATTTCCATGGATGTCAACAGGTGATGGAAAGGGTCTGAAAGCAAGGAAGGATTGAAGTGACCCTCAGCAAAGTGAGAGTGATGCAGAGGACCACATGAGAAGGGAAACATCATTCTCTTGTGAAGATTGATGTTTCAACATGCCTGAGATCTTTTGGTGAGAAATTCGAGTCCAGCTGGACATCTTTTACTCCTATTTCTATTCGATTTCATGGAATTTTTTGCAAATAGTGGGCCAAATTCTGCAATGATTTTTGATCACTGCCACCCTGTGGAAATCAGTGGAGTGGCACTGGGTGTAAATCACTCCAGAATTTAGTCCATTGTCTTTCCAATAGCTTTTTGTAAAGGAAAAAACCCACAATTCATATTAACTTCTAAAATAGGTAGATCCTGCCCCAGTATAGCTTAAGGCTCTGATCCATCAAAGCATTTGCTTCATTTCAAGCACGTGAGAAGCCCCATGAAATCAGAGTAGGAAAACTTCATCAACTGAATTATTTGCTCCAAATTATTCATTCAGCTCTGTTAAATGCACTGTCACTTGTACAGCTGCTCCCCCCTCAAACAAACCGCTGCCGGGGGTGGAAAGTTTCACATGATAGCGTGCAATGTCCAAGCTAATATATTTCTCATTGGGTTACACTGCAGATTGACCAAGCTGTTTGTTAACTCTTGTTTGTCTGCTCAGATTTAGATCTAGAATGGATGAGGAGGGGTTGTAGATGGAAGTTCTAATCTCGTTATATCTTTCCTGTAAAATCGGGACATAAAGCCAGCCATAGCAAAATGATCACATATACTCAGATAGCTAACAAATTACCGCAAGTGCTACTGTATAGTGTGTCACTCACTTTCATACTTCACTAGCCTGCTGTGAGCAACGTCATACAAATAAAGTAATGATTGCTGATCAGCAGATTTGCATTGACCATTGCTGCTTATTTATTCTAGAGAGAGAAACTTGCCCTCTTATGAGCATTTAGGGAAATGAAAAAAAAATATTGGTGAACTCAAACTCAGAAAAGATCGTGTGTAATTCCCAGGGACATCAAAGGGAAGCAGCAGCGAAGTATTTGAAATGTAGCAAAAACAGAAACATGGTTGCTGTTACACAGTGACTTTAATATACTGAAATCTGCCCAGAAAGCTTGAAAAATACACATTTTTCATTTGACTTCCTTTCACAGAGCAAAGTCTCCTCCTAGCCAAGTTAATATTTGGGACTAGGGAAAGGTGTTCTGAATGGTACCTGTGCTAGATTTCAAAAGCATCAATGACTATATAAACCCCATGTATCCACACAATAAAATGCAGAGCATTGTGAAGAACAAGAGAACCGGGTAATAAATTGCATATCACATGGTCCATACTTTATCATTTACCTTTGACTATATTGCCTGCCTCAAGCTCATTTATTCCCTCTTCATCAGATCTACTTGTAATATTCCAAACCTTCAAACAGCTTCAAAAAGCCGCCATTTTTATTTAAGCTGCCTGTTAAAGAAATGGGAGTTTTATCCCTTTAAATGTATCCCATTTAAAACCTCTATAAATGATCTGAAATAGCTTTTCTGTATCCACAGCATTAAGGTCTAAA